TAACCACCAAAGAAACAGCTATAGAATACACACAGAGGTAAATGAGAAAGGGATCAAGATATGTGATTATACAAATCAACAAAACACAAAGGAAGAGAGCAAGAGAGAAAAGAAGAACAAAACAGCCACCAGACAGGCAAAAAACAATTAAAACAGCAATAATAAATCTTTCCCTATTAGTTATTACATTAAATGTAAATGAATGAAATGTACCAATTAAAGGGCAGAGATTAGTTAAACTAATTTTTTAAAAAAGGTCCAACAATATGCTGTCTAGAAGACACTTTAGATCTCAGGACTCACTCAGGCTAAAAGTAAAAGGTTGGAAGAAGATATTCCATGCAACAGGAACCTAAAGACAGCAAGAATAGCCTTTCTTACATCAGATGAAGTACAGCTTAAGGTAAAAAAGACTGTCAAAAAAGACAAATAATATTATATAATGATAAAAGAGTGAATTCAACAGGAAGATTTAACAATTATAAATATATGTGGACCTAACATTAGAGCATCCAAATATATGAAGCAAACACTAAAAAGAAACTGAAGGGAGAAACAAAAATCAACAAAATAGTAGATCAATACCCCACTTTCAGCTATGGATAGAATACACAGAATACCAATAAGAAAACACAGGACTTAAACAATATTATAAACTAAATACACATAACAAACATATATAGAACATTTCACCCAACAGTAGAAAAATACATGTTCTTCTCAACCACACATGGAACATTCTCCAAGACAGACCACATGCCTAACATAGACACATTCTAACACAGAACAAGTATTAACAAAATTAAGAAATGAAAATTATACAAAATATCTTCTTGACCACAAGGAAGTAAAACTAGAAATCAATACCAGAAAGAAATAAGAACATCCACAAATATGTGAAAATTAAACATGCTCCTAATTCATGGTTGAAGAAAAAAATCACAAATTTACAAAATATCTGGAGACAGATGAAAATGAAATACAAAATACCAAAACTTACAGGATTCAGCAAAGGCTGTGCCAAGACGAAATTTATAGTGGTAAATGTTTATATTAAAAAAAAAAGATTTCAAAACAACAACCTAAACTTACACCTAAAGGAACAACAGAACAAACTGAACCTAAAATGTACAGGTGAAAGAAAATAATAAATGTTAGAGTTAAGTGAAACAGAAATAGAAAAAAAATTCAGTGAAACCAAGAGTTTTTTTTAAAAGATTAACAAAAAGTGACAAGTCCTTGGCTAAATTAAGAAAAAAAGAGACAGCAAATAACTAAAATTAGAAATGAAAGAGGAGACATGATGTCCACTGAAAGACCAAATCATAACAGACTCTGAACAATTATAAGACAAAATATTGGATAACTTAGAAGAAATGGAAAAATTCCTAGAAAAACAGAACCTACCAAGACTGAATCGTGAAAAAGTAAAAACAATCTGAAAAGACATATATAACTAGTGAGGAGACTGAAGCAATAGGCAAAAACCACCACCACCACAGACCCAGAACCAGGTGACTTTGTTGGAGAATTTTATCAAACATTAAAGAATTAACATCAATCCTTCTCAAACTCTTCCAAAGAATCAAAGAGAGAACACCCAGCCTTTTCTGACACTACCTGATGGGTATGAGGCCCTGATACCAAAAACAGATAAGGACACAAGAGGAAGCTACAGACCAACATCCCTGATTAATGTTGCTGCAAAAATCCTAAACAAAATAGTAGTAAATAAAATTCAAAGGCATATTAAAAGGATCATACAGTATAATCAAGTAGGACTGATACCTGGAACATAATGATGGCTCACCATCTGTAATGATACATAACCATGTATTATACCACATAAACAAAATGCACAAAAATATGATCATCTCAAGAGATGCATGAAAAGCATCTGACAAAATGTAATACTCTTTCATGATAACAACACTCAATAACCTAGTAATAGAAGGAAACTAACTCAACATAAAAATCCTATGAACTTGCCAACAGACATCATTTCAAGGAGGAAAGACTGAGAGCTTCTCCTCTAAGATCAAGAACAAGCCAAGGCTGCTCACTCTTGCCACCACTGTTCAACATAGTTCTGAATGTTCTAGACAGAGCAATTAGAAAAGAAAACAATCATAAAAGGCATACAAATAGGAAAAGAAGTAAAGTAAGTATCTGCTTGCAAACACCATGATCTTATATACAGAAAATCCTAAAGATTCCAAAGACAAAAATGTTAGAACTAATAAATCCAGCGAAGTTGCAGGATAAAAAAATTAACACTAAAAATCCATTGCATTTCTATATGTTAACAATGACCAATCAAAAAAGAGAATTAAGAAAATGATCCCATTTACTAAAGCATCAAAAAAAAGATTAAAATACCCAGGAATAAAATTAACCAAGGAGATGAAAGATTTTAACACAGGAAACTACAAAAACATCACTAAAAGAAATCAAAGAAGATACAAATAGATGGAAAGACATCCCATGGTCATGGATTGGAAGACTTAACACAATTAAAATGCCCACATTATCCAAAACAATGTACAGATTCAGTGCAGTTTCTATCAAAAGCTCAATGGCATTTTTTTTCTGCAGAAAAAGAAAAAATACTAAAATTCACATGGAATCTCAAGGGACCCCTGAATAGCCAAAATAATCTTGAAAAAACGAAACAAAGTTGTAGGTCTCAAACTTCCTGATTTCAAAATACACTACAGCAACAGTAATTAGGACAGTGCTGCACTGGCAGAAAGACAGATTACACACGTACACCTAACACTAATGCAGTGTTACATGTCAATTATATCTAAAATTTTTAAAATAAAAATTAAAAAATTATTTCACACACATAAACTAGTGGAACAGAACTGAAGCCCAGGAATAAACCCTTGCACACACAGCAAAGTGACTTCCCACAGGAGTGCCGATGAGTGAAGGAAAACCTCTCCAACACGTAGCGCTGGGAGAACTAATGTCCACATGTAAAAGAATAAAGTTTGACCCCTCCCTTACACCGCATACAGAAATAAACTTGGAATGGGTCCATGACCTAAACAAAAGATCTAAACCTATCAAACTCCTGAAGAAAACACAGGGGGAAAGCTTCAGGAAACTAGACTTGGCAGTTATTTCTTGAACATAACACCAAAAGCTTAGGCTTAACAAAAGCAAAAATAAACAAATGGGACTAATCAACCTAAAAAGTTACCACACAGCAAAGGAAACAATCAACAAAATGAAAAGGCATCTATGTAATGGTAGAAAATATTTACAAACCATATATATCACTAGGGGTTAATATCTAAAATATATAAGCAACTCATACAACTCAGTAGCAAAAAACCCCAAATAATCTGATTTTAAAATGGGCAAAGAAATAGAAAAATCAATAGACATAAAAATGTCCAACAGGCACATGAAGAGGCTCTCAACATCACAAATCATCAGGGAAATGCACATCAAAACCACAAGAACTGTCACCTCACACCTGTGACAATGGCTATTATCAAAAAGAGAAAACAAGCGTTGATGAGAATGCAGAAAGAGGGAACCCTCAAGCGCTGCTGGTGGGAAAAGAAATTGCAACAGCCACTATGGAAAATAGTATGTAGGTTCCTTGAAAATTAAAAATAGAAGTACCATATGATCTAGCAATCCTAAGTGGGATTGCTAGATCATATACCCAAAGGAAATAAAATCAGTATCTCAGAAAGATATCTGCACTCCCATGTTCTTTGCAGAATTATTCACAATAGCCAAGATATGGAAACAACCTAAGTCTCCACCAACAGATGCATGGATAAACTGATTTATATACAAAAGGGAGTATTATTCAGCCATAAACAAGAAGGAAATCCTGCCATTTGTGACAACACTGATGAATCCATAAGACATTATGGGAAGCGGGGTAAACAAGACACAGAAAGACAAATATTGCAGGATCCCACTTATATGTGGACTCAAAACAAACAAAACCTCATAGTAACACAGTAGAATGGTGGTTACCAGGGCCAGAAAGTGGGGGTCATAGGGACTTATTATTTAATACATAGTTTCACTTCTGCAAGATAAAGAGTTCTAAAATGGAAGGCAGTAATGGTTATACAATATGAATGTACTTAATATCACTGAACTATACACTTAAAAATGTTTAAGATAGTATGTTTTATGTTTATTTTACAATAAAAAATTGGGAAAGTATGTATATAAATGTGCATGTGTGTGTATATACATTCACAGAAAATATACTCTAAGCACCAATAACATTATAGAGTAAGATTACACATGATTTATTTTCCTATGTACTTTTTTCACTTTTTCAAATGTTCTACAGCACTTTCATAATCAGATAAAGCACAACGAATGTTGCTTTTCAAAACTCAGAAAATAAGAAAATGCATTACCAAATAATATATAGTATTAACTTTAAGAATAATATGGGTAACTATGGAAAAACAGAAAAGTAAACAAAAATATGTTAACAACAGTTGATTATCTCAGGGAAACAGGATATGGTGATTTTTATTTTCTTCTTTTTGTACGTCTTCTTTAAAATTTTTCATTAATTATGAAATTTTTGTAACTTACTTATTAAAAAACACAGTAAAACACAAATATTACATATGAAAATACTAATGATCCAGTCAATGTTGTACTTAAAAATTCACAGATATAAACGGCTGTGTTAAGAAAAAAATAAATTTTAAAATATTAAAAAAAATTTTAAAGAATAAAATAAATAAATTATGCTTTTTAATGTCCTTTTAACTAACTGAGGCACCATATGTAGACCAATATTGCTGACTGGATTATCATATTCAAGTTCAAACCAACAATATAACATTTAATATTTTATTACTACAATGACTGTTAATAACTAGTAATTTAATTAATACCTATTATTAGTTAACATTGCCTTATGGCTAACTAATATTATTGGTAACTAATAATGAAAATACCAGGTAATACTTCATACTTGGCAGTTTATACAAAATACATACATTACATTTTTCGTCAGCTGCTTCTTCTAACTGAGTTGCAAATTCTGAACAATTTGTCAAGAATGAATTCAGATCATCCCCAACCTTATGAAAAAAAGCAATAAAACAGAAAGTTACTTTCATTTCACAATCCATATGCACATGCATCTATATTTTAGTATGTTTAACTACTTTTAAAAAGAGTTTCATGTGTGTAATTTATGTCCTTTCAACTGCATAAGACAAGAAGCCAATGCTATATGAGCAGATTCTCCCAGAAAGCATGAAAGAAAGCACACTGTGGGGAGCGGTCCATTGATGCCACAGTCCCAGCTGTGCCTCTCCTCGCATCCTCCTCTACACAGCTGCAGAAAATCAAGCACCCCAGCCTTGGACTCCTGAAATTGAAGAGTAGCCAAAAAAAATTACACACTTGTATATACCTTATAAATAACTTCTTTTGTTAAAAACTGAATGCTGATTATGACTTCTAGGTACACTTGCCCAGAGACATAGTCTTTCACCCTCACTTAATGAACAATAGAAAATTTTGAGGAAAGAAAGTTATGTATTAAAACATCACAATGAATGAATCTCTTCTAGTAGAGCAGTGATTTATAAGTCAGAGAACTGGCACATGATAAATGAATCTCAGGTGCTCACATACAGTTAGAATTTTCATAAAGGGTTCTCCATGAGGAATATGTTCCTCAACATTAAATTTTAAACACACTCATTGATTCATTTTTTATCATAGTAAAAACCTATAATCACATAGGAGAGAGGGGAGAAAACTCATTCAGGATGGGGGAAAATGAATGAACTAGAGTTACTAATCACAAGTGTTAAGTGAGACCATTTCACATACTTCGGGATTTTCTTCCACCCACATTCAGGTGTCACAATAGAGAGAGGACGAACAAGCTGATGAAGGCTGCAGTTTAACAAAGTAAGATCAATGAAGCAGGACAGGGCAAGAGGGATAAGGACATATGAACAGGAGCAAAAATAGTGGACTACGAAATTCAAGCAAGATAAGTAAGAACGCAAGAGGGATCTGGGACAGTAAAAAGTAGCAGGACCAACGGACTATGTTTCCCAATGAATCCAGAGGACCTGGACAGACAAATAACAAACTGAATGGGAAACACAGGAGGTAGTGGCCAGAGATTAGGATGACTGAAACTTAAATTACAGAGAAGTTAGTTATGGGTTACAACAAGGACATAGAGGGTATCATCTTGTCAGTAAGTGGCTGATGTGGGACAGAGACAAGATCATAGGAGGAAAAACTTCCATGAATTGTGATGCCAGATAATCTGGAAAGGTCTTCTACATGGATGTCAAAAGCTTCAAAATTTATGAGAACAGTAGTGTTGTGAGACAAGCAGAGCATCTTTGTAATAGAAACTATTAGCTGCCTTCCTTACACTGATTCTTCTTTTCTTCCTTACTAACAGGACCTCAGTTTTGCTGGGGATGGCAATGTGCAGAGGTACTAATAGCAGTAACTATAAAATCTGCCAACCTCCTTTACCAACGGGGTAGCCGTGTGTCCCAATCAGGCCAATGAAACAAAAAGGAATGTTGGGCAGCTCTTCTACAAAGGATCTCTAAAAGAGGTGCAGAAATAACACTCATGATTAGGGTACAAATAGGAACAAGAGAGAGGCCTTCACTCCAGTGTTAGCACCACCAAAAGAAAAAACATATAAAATAAAATCATCATCATGCTTTCCTTGAGGATACCAAGAATACGAGGAAAACCTGATGAACTGCTTGCCACAGAACACTTCGTACATAAGCAAAAAACCATGGCCACATCCATACGTAGAGGGAGTACGGCAGTGGAGACATTTGGCTTAGCATGCGCAGTCAGAAAGCGGGGCTGCCATTGACAAACAGAATTCAGAGGATGAAGAAAAACCAGCTGAGCGTCTGACAGCCATTTAGGCCAGCAGATAGACTAGAATGACGGGGAGCTCCCTAAGAAAATCACTCAACACAACTGTTTTTCTCCCAGCAAACTCCTTCCCGTCTGAAATCTGCCAAGAAGGTGGCAGAAGGCCAAGAAGGAGGCCTTCATACCATTAAGAATTTGGGTAAGGATGTGGGGTTACTGAAACTCTTATATAGAGCTGGTAGAAATATACAATGGTACTGCCATGTTGGGAAACAGTCAGCAACTGCTCATAAAGTTAAACATATACTTCAAATATAACCTACTAATCTACTCCTAAGTAATTATCCAAGACTAATGAACATGTATGTCCTCACAAAGACTTGTACACAAATGTTCATAGAAGTTTTATTCGTAACAGCCAAAACAGCTACTGGATCCAGCAATCCAAATGTCTATTAACCAGTGAATGGATAAACAAATTGTGGTACAGCCATGAAATCAAATACTCTTCACTGTAAAAGTAACAAACTTTTATACACAGAACAACATGGATGCATCTCAAAAACATTATGATGCAAGGGGAATGGGGAAAGCTAGCTAAACAAAGTTACATATTGCATGATTTTATTTAGATGACTTCCAGAAAAGGCAAAACTATAGTGACGAATCAGTGGCTATCTGGAGCTGGAGAAGGAGGAGACAACTGACTGCAAATGGGTACAAGGAGCTTTTTGGAATAATGAAGATGCTTTATAGTTTGATTGTGGTGGCAGTTATTAACAACCACTATAAAGGAGGAATTAAAAAGCAGCAGATCTCATCCTACACATTCTTGCAGTAATTGCACTTTGAAGCTCTGCCAGGACTGAATCAAAACTATCTAAAGTTGAGGTCTAAACTCCTGCTAGCTAAAATATTGGCTTGGAGTTAAGATACACACTATTGTATATAAAACAGATAAACATTAAGAACCTATTGTATAGCACAGGGAACTGCATTCAATATCTTATAATAACCTATAATGGAAAAGAATTTGACAAATAATACATATAACTCACTTTGCTGCACACCTGAAACTAACATAACATTGTACATCAAGTATACTTCCATTTTTAAAAATTTAATGAGATAAAAATAAAATAAAACACTGGCAAGATCAAAGGAATCAGCCGCTTAGGGGAAGCAGCCACAGGAGAGATTATGGATAAGACAAATTAGATAAGAGCTCAGTCTGACTAAGCACATGGATCAGTTCCTGCTCAACTCTCAGAGGATGGGGAATGACGAGCCCTTCACCCTAAATGCCAGAATGGAAAGGGCAAGCCTTCTTTACAAAACAAAATATAGTATCACAATTTCCAGCGTTCTTCTAAATACAGTGTTTGGGATCCAATTTAAAAAAACTGCAAAACATACAAAGAGCAAGGAAAATATAATCTATAATGAAAAGAAAAAATAGTTCAGGCAAACACACTGATAACCCAGATACTGGAATTCACAGACACAAAATTTTTAAAACTCTACTATTGGTAAGACAAAAGAATTTGCAGGAAAAGACAGATATACTAGGTAAAGAGAAGTATCCATCTCTAACAGGAGAAATATAAAAACCCCTAAGAAGGAGCCAAAAGATAATCTTAAATGTGAAAATTACAATGCTTGAAATAAAAATTTCACTGGATAAAGCTTATTAACAGATCTGACACCACAGAAAGGAAGAGTGAATCTGAAATAATAGATATTGTCCAAACTGAAGCACAGAAAGAGAAAACATCAAAATAAGTAAACAGTTACTTATTACATCATATCAAGCAGTATAATATATGTATAATTGGAGTCTCATAAAAAAGGGAAGAGAGACAGTAAATAATATGAAGAAATAATGAATGGAAATTTTCCAAATCTGATGAAAAACATCATCTCAAAGATTCAGCTTGATGATTTCCAAACAGAACATACAGAAAACATCTCCTAGGCATGTCTTAGCAAACTGATGAAATCCAAAGATAGAGAAAATCTTTAAAACAGTCAAGAAAAAAGGGTAAACAATAACAATAATACAAAACACATAAGTGTGGTAAATGGACTTATATTGCTGTAAAGTTCTCACATTAGAAATGAAGATAATATTAACTGAAGATAAACTGTGATAAGTTTAAGATATGTATTGAATCCCTACAGCAAGCCCAAAAAAAGACATAGCTAAAAAGCCAAAAAAAAAAAAAAAAAGAAAGGCTAAAAAAGAAAATACATAATTAACCTAAATAAAACAGAAAAAAGGTAAAGGAACAAAGAACATATGGAATAAAAACAAAGCCAGATAGTAGACTTAATTGATATTATTTCTATAAAATTTTATAACAATAAATCATGTGACATGACATTGAATTTTATCAACTAAATGTAAATGAACTAAACACACCAATTAAGACAAAGATTATCAGACTGAATAAAAAAGCAAGACAACTATATTGTATTTCAGAGAGATACACAGTAAATACATAATCACAGATAGCTTGGAAGTAAAAGTTTGAAAGAAGATGTAACATGCAATGACTAATCATATGAAAGGTGATATCAGATAAAGACGACATCAGAACACAGAACTGTATCAAAGATAATTTTGGACTTCCTGTTCTGGTCATCACAGACTAGATCCATTCCTCTAACCCTCCCTCCTACAATTGAACACACTAGACACAGCACAGTGACAAACACAGGAAGGTTCTGAAAGGTGGAAAGAGAAGACAGGGATACTGGGACTTGAGGAACACGTGAGTTCCTTGGGTTTTCTTTTACCTACATATAAAATGGATGGGGCAACTGTCAAGCACAGATCCAAAAAAAAAAAAAAAAAAAAAGCCCGAAAATCCTAAGAACTGTGAAAAGGCACCTCTGCCGTAACACAAAACTTTTGACAATACTATCCTCCCTGAACCAAATACCAAGGAAAACACTACACCACCACCCTATGTGTCAACAGGGCCGAAAAATAATGTGGCAGTGAAAGTTGGCCCTCCATTTCCCCCACCAGAGTGGTGTAGGTGGAGTGAGGCAGGGAAGTAAACTTCCATGCTTGTCTGGAAGCAGCAGTCAGAATGAGCAAGGATGTCTGCTCTCGTCACTGTTATTAAATATAATACTGGAGGCCAGAGCCAGCACAGTAAGTCAAGGGAAGGAAATAAGAAGCAATCAGATTGGACAGAATGAGGTAAACCTGTTCCTATTTGAAGGTGACATAATTGTCTGAAGAAGAAAACCCCAAAGAATCCACAGAAAAACTCCTAGAGTGAAAAAGTACATTGAGCACGCTTGCAAGATGTAAGATCAACACACAAAAATCAATCATATCTCTATATACTAGTTACAAACAGGAAGAAAGTGAACTTAAAAACATACCATTAAAAATCATTCCCCCTAGAATGAACTATTAATGTCTAAATCTAGCAAGTCATGAATAGGATCTGTATTATGAAAATTACAAAATGCTGATGCAATAAATCAAACAAGACAAAGAACCAATCAAATAAATGGAGAAATATACCATGTTCATAAGTTGACTCAATACAGGTGTTTTATTACACGGAGCCAAATTCAGTTCCTAAGAAGAGTAATTTAAAAAAAACTAATTTTAACATAGAATAATAACACTCTATTAGTAAAGTGTATTAAAGCACAGTTGACTATTAAGAAATATGTAAAATAATTTCTCTCATCAATAGACTGAAGGAAAACACAATCACTTTAACAGTTATATCACTTCAACATACACAACAAAGACATTTGTCAAAACTCAGTAACCTCTATTGTTTTCATTTTTTTAATTTAGCAAACTAGAAATAAAATAATATATTCTTAACATACTAAAGAATATACATCTCAAACCAACAGTCACCCACCAGCTTAACTATTAAACAAGAGAGGCATTAGCATTAAAAGTATGCTCAAGATGTAGGTATGCCTTAATTAAACCCTAAGGTAAGTGTTGGCAGAGGATGGGAAAATCAGCACACTACTTTCAAGTTTCCTAAGAAGATCATTTTCATGGATGAGGAATTCATTCTGAGAACGTACACAGACTCTAAAAGAAAACCTTAGCCCTTTTCAGTGTTAATGTCTCTATGTTACAGTTACATATACTTACAGATGAAGTTAATCCTTCATCTTCAGGCTTTACAACTTGTTCTTTTCCATTTTGAACATTAAATCCATAGGTTTCTTCGAAAGTAGAAACAATCTATAAGAAAAAGCAAATTATGAACACACATAATGTAAAAATATTAGTTAAATGTAGAAAGATATTGAACAATCATGTCAGAACCATAAGACTTATTTCTGCCAGTGCCATAAATTTTCCACCTCATATCACCCTGAAGAATTAAGGGCAACAGTCCTTGATCCTCCTCCCTAGCAATGAAGAGAGGCCCTACGACTCTTTCATTTCTGTGCTGAAGAGAGTCTATGAATCGTTGAAACATCAACTCTACTTACTACCAAAGTACCTTCCAAGTCTGACCAACTTTCTTCTTTGAAGAGAGTGGGGAAAACAGAGATGGAGACCAGAAAGCAATACATTTTTAAAGGAAATTCTCTGGGATAACCCCTTGAACTTTGAGCAAACTTGGATTTTGAAAGTATGTCTGCTATTCCTCATCGTTCTCACCTGGTAGTCAGACCACTTACAATGCAATTCTGGATAACTATGCAAAAAAGAAATCAAAGAAAGGGAGATTTTTCCCCCAACATTAAGAGCCAAAGTTTCTACAGTGCAGAGAAGAGTTAACATAGCGGGCACTGACTATTCACTAACAGTAGGTCACTGTCTCTAAATTATTGGTACAAACCATATGATTGATTCTGAATTTGTTTCCTTCAGAGAGTCTGGAATTTGCTACATGCTAGGCAGAGAGTGCCTGGGTGACCAATCCCCAGTGAAACCCTGGGTGCTCAGTCTCTAACGAGCTCCTCTGGGAGACATTTCATATGTGTGGTCACAGTTTGCTGTTGGAGGAATTAAGCATGTCCTATGTGACTCCAAAGGGAAAGGAATCTTAAAAATTTAGAGCTGATTTCCTCCAGACTTCACCCCACCCTTTTGCTGACTTTGCTTTTTTACCCTTTCACTGTGATATATCTTAGCCATCACTATGACTATATGCTGAATCCAGTGAGCCCTCCCAGCAAATCACTAAACCTGGGGATGGTCATGGGGGTCCCCCAACACAGGCACCAACAAGTATCTTACCCTCCTCAGACGTTCACTAATATTCCTGATCGATTCATCTTCTGCTATTAGCTCCTTTGTCTTCCTTGATGGAATGGGCAAAGCATACCTTATCATGGATTCTCCTGTTGGTGGAGATCTTAAGACCATTGGTTCAAGTTTATCACGGTCTAATTTTGCACTATGTTTTTCTTTAAATTTAGGTGACAATGGTGAATTAAGTAGTCCTCTTTTGTAAGTTAATGCTGGAACATTTGCCAATTTACTACTAGAGGCCAACAGCTGCTTTACTGGCTTCATTGTTTTTTATTTACTTAGCTTCTGAATTATAGATGAAAAAATTTTATTCCTCCCTGTGAATAAAACATTAAGATTTCAGATTAAAAATGACAGCAGGATTATCAGTTGCCATGAGGACGGTGAATCCCAAAATCAACTCAGGAGAAACTACAAAACAGAAAGGAAAACATTCCTAACTAACAACAAATTTAAAAAAAAAAAAAAAACCAGTGAGAAATTCCTAAAGGTGACTGAAAGCTGATTCATGTGCAGGCATGGGAACTGAAGGGAGGGAAGAAGATAGTGGCAGCAATAAGAGAATGTATTTAGAAAACTTTAAAAATTTTATTCTTCCCTTTCCCCCATTCTTGAACTAATATACACCTTTTATATATATCATTATTTCCACAGAAGTGACAGCCTGTTCTCAGGGTATCAGCAGAGTAATGTCAGGGCGGCACCAAACCCATGCTGGGGTAAGGAAGTACAGACAGGGCAGGCCTTAAACTTTCTTTCCTCTACTTTTCTCTTTCCAAAGCTGATTAAGACTCAGGACAATGCCTCCTCCCCGAGCAGTTTTAAATTATGTGCCTGATCATGGGAGTTGTCCCATAGACTGGAAAAATTAAGACAGAAGAGCACTGGTCATTCTTTGTTGTCTGAAGCACTCCACACCTAGACTAGTCCCGTTGTGGGTTAAACTGTCCCCCAAAAAAGATATGTTCAAGTCCTAACTCCTAGCACCTGGGAATATGACGGTATTTGAAAATACAGTCTTTGTAGGTGTAATCAAGTTAAGAGGAGGTCACATTGGATTAGGTTGGGCCCTAAATCCAATGATTGGTGTCATTATAAGAAAGTCATGTGCAGAGCCTCAATTAAACCAATAAAGGCAAAAGTATTCACAAAAAAAAAAATAAAGCCACGTGAAGATACTTGCACCAAGACATACAGGAAAGGCCATGACAGGGCAAGAGCAGAGGCTGGAGCCGTGCAGCTGCAAGCCCTGCTAAAGCCTGCCAGCATCCACCAGAAACCAGGAAGCCAGGGAAGATTCTTCCCTAGAACCTTCAGGGGAGACACTGATTTCAGCCTCCAAGACGCCAAAGCTGTCAGACAGTAACCCTGTCTCACAACGGTTTCAAGCCACCCTGTCGGTGGCTCTCTGCCACAGCAGCGCTTTGCTGACGTAAAGGATTCAGCAGAGAGCAAACTGGATGTGGCTGGGAGTGAGGGAACTGCTCCGACGATGGCCTTGAGCCAACGAGAGGAAATGGGTTTTCCTACACAGACCCCAGGGAAAGTGTGTCTAGAGCAGCAGGCAGGAGGGGGCAGACATGTGGGCTCATTCAAGACACCAACAGGAAAGGAAGGGGCACTCACCAGGGGCCACAGAACCTCCCAACAAATGGGCCCACGGAGCTCACAGAAATTTAAACACAAAAACTACAGACAATGAATACTTGTATTCACAAGAAAACACTCAAGGTCACACATTTCCTTCCGCTCTCCTGACGAAGGCAGGCGGCGGATACTGCCCCACCCCCACTGTGCCCAAGTTCCAGCGGTCACTTCCCACCACGAAGACAGACTTCTGGCTCTCCTTCAAGGATTAGCCGGGTGGCCACTCCCAGCCCTTGGACGGTACATGACCCACGGGGCCGGGGGGACGCGAGGACAGGGACGCTTGGCCCCGTTTCTCCACCAGAAGCAGCAGGCCCAGCCCGAGGCCACCACGCAGCAGGAAAACGGAGGGAAGCAAGGCAGCGAAAACCCGGAGAAACAGACCTACAGGAAAGCCAGGCAGAAGGCACTCTGCACCCTTGCTCGGCGGCTGCTCGGCCTTTCCTGGAAGCAGGGTTTGGGGCACACAGACATGGGAATACGTGAACTCTCCCCAGGCAGGCCAGCCCCTCCTGTTCTTGGCTCTACACTCGTGTTGGTCAGCGTATTTCAAATAAAAAAATCTTCTTATCACAAAAAAAAAAAAAAATAAGAAGGAAAAAAAAGCAAGGCAGAGCCCAGCGACAGCCCCCACCCGACCCGGGCCGCGCCTCGCCCTTCAGCGTACCTGCGGGGGCTGCTGGCAGGCGGGCTCCGGGGTGGGGCGGCGAGGCCCTGGCCAGCGGGCTCTGCGGCGAAACCGCTGGACGTGCTGAGCCACCCAGACTTCCTCCAGGGCGGAAGCCTGCAAACCCTCCGGACGCCAGCCCCGCCGTTTCGCAAACGGGCATTGGCGCTGCGGTAGGAGGCCCGGCCTCGGTGTCCCTGGGCCTCAGCGACAAGCAGCGCGGGCTGCCAACCGCCGCTCGGCCGTTAGCGCGACGTCGTGACGCAGACGCTGACGTCAGACGCCGCGGGCGCGAACCTCATGCCCGCTGCGGGGGGCGAGGACTTCCGGCAGGGGCGGGGTGCTGGAGATTGGTCCTGGGCGAGCCGTGGCCATTCTCTCGCGGGTCTGAGTACTTCCGGGCGCTTGGCTCGCGCGGTTCCTTCCAGGTGTTTGGCCTGAAGACTTAAAACACCTGCGTACGCGGTGCATTGAGAGTTTGGCCTTCATCAGCAACACTGAGACCCAGGCCCGGGCCCCAGGCTGCCGTCCTCTGAAGCGCTTTTCAACACTAGGTGTTGTGGAGTCCGTTACCAGACTTTTTTTCCCTTTTTTTTTAAACTACTAAACACTTTTTATTACATAATTCTTAGTATGGACATCAAATAGGCAATTGGAAAAATAGCAATGATTGGGATAATAAGAAAGAATTGTTCTTAGGGGGAGGGGTATAGCTCTGTGATAGATTGCGTATGCAGGAGGTCCTGGGTTCAACCCCCAGTACCTCTATTAAAAAAAAAAATTCAACAATTATTTTTACATCAGTCTATGGTAAAATAAAGTAAAAATTCTTTTCCTATTCTGGGTAAAATACATAGAAATGATACTCACTTTTTTGAAATTGAAATATAGTTGATGCAGAGTATTAGTTAAGTTTTTGATGTGCAACGTAATGATTCATAATTTTATTCCCTGTGCTGTACAACCTACAACCTACCCTGTAGCTTATTTTCTTTATACCTAATGCTTTGTACCCCTGAATTACCCCACTTCCTTCTCCCCACTGATAACCACTACTTTGTTCTCTGTATCTGTGTGTCTGTGTCTTTGTTATATTCACTAGGTTCTTTTTTAGATTCCATATATAAGTGATATCATACAGTATTTGTCTTTCTCTGTCTGACTTACTTCACTAAGCATAATGCCCTCCAAGTCCAGACTCTAATCTTCTGCAGAATTGTGCAGCAGCTTCATAGTTTTAAAGGTAAGGTGAACTAGAAAGATGAAGTGTGTTATATAAGTAGTCTCTTGCCATCAGTTTCCATGCACTGCTTTCATATGTAACTATCCAAGGTAGATAGTGTGACTTCAAGGAAATTTTGTCTTTAAAAAAATTGAAGATGATTCATTTAAAACACTCCCCAAATAAGAAGGTTTTTCACTGACCAAAGTAAAATGTTCTCATATGAAAAATATTAACTTGGTTGTTGTTAATTTAATTGTTAATACTGGCTATGCTTAAGAATTGTCTCACCAAATTCTGAAAATTTAACAGCTCTCAAGAGGGGATGCAGGCTACCTCCAGCATACCTTTGGTAGTTAAGAGTTGTTAATGACTAGGAAAGGGATGCAGAAGCCTTCTGGAGTACCAGAAATATTTCCTGCTCTAAGTTTCTGGATGTGTCCAGAAAGTCATGAAGGTTTGCGGTTATCATTTGTGCATTTTTCAGTATGCACAAATTACATCAGTAATAAAAAGCAAGAAATATAGGTTTAGTGATCAAACTTATTAAGCAATATAGCAAGTGGCAGGAGAGGAGAGCTGGCAATAAATTTAATCTGAGGAAATTGTTTACAAAGGATTAAATTACTAAATCCAAAGTCTTCCCAAACCATTGTAAATGAAAGAGGTAGGAAACAGAAATGTCTCAAAATGTCTCAAAATCATAAAAGACATTTGGTTTAAAAGAGATCTCCCCAAACTTTCTAGATTTGACACAGCAGATTGCTACTATTTTTCAGAACCCTGAAGATTGATTATGTCTAGTCATTTCGAATTTTGCTGTTAAGATCTGAATGATCAAGTTGTCAAATTAACCTTCATGAGCAAACCACTCAACATGAGTTCTAGCCAAAAATCGAGCATCCATATAGCGTGGTGGCCTTAATACTCAACACGGCTAGGAACCAAAGACTAATATTAGTGCTGGTGAAGTGAAAGTGAAGAATTCCAGAAAGTGAATAATAAGTACGGAATGTCAAACTATATAGTGGCTCAAGCATTTGACATGAATTTGTCCATTATTCTTTGAAAACAGGTAAACAATACCTAGGAATAGGACACTTTTTCAACTGATGAAGGACATTTGTGAAAATTCTAAGGCTAACATCATATTTAATGGTGAAAAATCAGAAGAGATCGGGCACGTTCAGGGTGATATGGCCGTAATGGTGAAAAATAAAATAATTTTCCCTTAGGATTGAGAATAAGACAAGGTTATTTACTCTTACTGTTTCTATTCAATATTGTACTAGAGGTCTTGCCAGTACAAGGTGAGAAAGAGAAATAAATGACATAATGATTTTAATGAAAGAAAGAAAACTTTTTATTTCCAGATAACATGATTATGTTCAAAGAAAATCCAAAGTAACCTACAAACTACTAAAACTAACAATTGAATGTACCAAGGTCATGAGTTGAAGGTAAATATACAAAAATCAATTGTTTTCCTACATACTGGCAACAAACAATTGAATTCCTTCAAGACAATGTACGCTTTTTATAGAATTATTTATACTATGACTAAAAAATATTAAATATTTAGGAACAATTTTAACTTCAAATATGCAAGACTTTTACAAATAAAACTATAAAACATTATTGAGAGAAATTAAAGAAGATCCAAATAATGGAAATAAATACCAAGTTCCATGACACAATATTGATAAAATGTTAACTGTGCTTAAATTGATGTATATTTATCAACATTGGGTTTATAGATTAAATGTAACTCCAATCAAAATCCAAGCAGACTACTTGGTAGAAATTGACAAAATAATTGTGTAACTTATATGGAAATGCATAGATCTAGGATAGCCAAAACAATCTTGAAAAATGAACATATATTTAAATAACTTACCCTATATGATTTAAGATGTTACTAGAAATCTGTAGTTATGAAAGCAATACCGTGTTGCACAAAGATAGACAGAGTAATGAAACAAAATAGGTCAGAAACACCCACTCATACACATTCAGTTGATTTCAGTGGTGTCAATGCACTTCAATGGGAAAAGAAAAATCCAACCAGTAGTCACAAAACAGCTGATATCATTAAAAGGAAAAAAATTGTCCATGACTCCTGGCTAGAGTCATACCTGAAATTTAATTTGAATTGGATCATAGACCTTATACGTTAGACATATACCATTTATATCATTGTTCA